ATATTTCTAAATTGTCTTTCTGTCTTCCTATCGCCTTTATCCCTGTCTTCGTAGTGTTTATTCTCATATTATACTCCACCCCTTTGTTATTAATTTGGTTTATGTGGTTTGTAGGCATTCGGTACTTTCTGCTTTAAGTACCCTATCGTCAGCGAATAGTAATTCTGTAATATCTTCTTCATAATCAAAGATCGTTTCCTTACATGCAGTATCCATGTATGTGATAAAAATAAGTCGCGACAGTGCACAGCCTTGAAGCACACCAGAGTTCACTGTCAAAATTCTTGACAATCCTGCCTTCGATCTTATGCAGCATTTACTACGTGTGTATGGGCTTTTGCAAAAAATTTATGAGAAGACTGGTAATTCTCTTTTCCAATAAATTCCAACAACATATTCCTATACACTCTATCAAAGGCCTTTTCCTGGTCTATGAATGTCAACAAACATGTCTTATCATAATCTATTGCTCTTTCTGATAGTTGTCTCAAAATATAGATGACATCTATGTAAATTCAGAAACTGTTACGTGTGAAAACTACTAGTTACAATAAATACTACGATGTTAAACGCACACGGATACTCACAACAGCGAAGTGATGAGGAGGAAAATATCACGTGATACCTTCTAGTGTAATCGTTATCTGCTAAAGCTTACATATGCCAACTGATCATGCCTAGCCACTGGAGTCTAGTTGCGTATACTCAACGCCCTGCTAAAGTAACAATAATGTCTTTTGCTTACAAATCTAATCTTGTCCTTCACACAGGAACGACCGTTCTGATGGCTCTGTCCGTGTTCATGACGACAATGGGCGCTATGCTGCCGGTCTCTTCCAACCAGATACCTTCTGTGGTTATCTACCTTTTCGTCCTGCTGATTATCTCCCTTCTCACGGTTATCACAAGCATCGTCATAGTCTGTCTTCACCACAAAGAGGAGGTAAGCAGACCTTGTTAATTTTTTCAATTAATTTAATTTGTAATTATGTGGTTTCCAAAATGGCACTCTAGCACTCGAGGCGGACAGCATTCCTCGAGACCACACAGCCCTCTGAGTGTGTCTCCTTTGATCGCATTAACACTGCAGGGGTGGTCTTTGTGGTGTGCAACTGCTAAACCATTTTATACGGCGCACATAACCTAGGCACAATTATAACCTAAATCCCCCCCTACCCTTCTGAACCTGAACTGGTTGAACGTGACGATTTTGTTTTTTCCAGCAAAGCACCAGTCAATAATAGGATTCCACGTAACAGTTCATGAGCTTTAATTAAATTAGCTGAACCACATTTGTCCTCCAGTCTTCCGCCTGCAGTCTGGAAACTCCATGCTACCCTCCAGGTGATGCCGGTGTGTTCGGAAATGAGAAGGCAGATAGACTGGCTGGTTCTGCACCACTTGGTGGAGAAGGATGTATGACAAGCTGGAAGTTGAGAGGGCCCTTTTGGAGCGAGTGAACAGTGCCGTGGCACAGTTAGATCATTACGGTCTGAGGAGAATGGCACTGCGAGGAGTTACAAGGGGATCTGGCCGACGTTCGACACTCGGGGGAAAAGTGAGACCGACATACAACCAGACAGTAAATTTACCGTTGGAATTTTAACTCTTCGCTTGCTGCTGAAGATGGGGATGGGGCGCTAATGGAGGTGTCCCGAGTGCTGTGATGTCGATTCCTAAATCAACATTCAACTACGCCACCCTACCACAAATAGTCACCCACTCGATCGTAATTACAAACGAAATGACACATGCTGTCAGACATTGATTTTTTTTTCAGACCGTAGAAAGAACTTCATCCGACTGGCTGCTGTCAGCATCCAGACTTCAGTCACCAAAGTTGTCACTGCGAGACCAGCCAACACACGGGATCTTGAACAATGGATGTATTCACACCCATCGCCCAGCCAAAAGCTTTTTCGGTCTTTCGTTCCAAGCTTTTAAACAGGACATTCTCTCCTGTAGTATTTTAGGTTCTATTCACGTTTCCGGGCCCATCTACACACTGACTGACCTTTCATTGATACTTTCTCATTCTTTTACGTCGGAGGGGTGTCACGTTAACGTCCCTCTAATTACATTAGCGCTCGTGACACCTGTTCTATACTACACGACGACACAGCTCTCAGCGACATCATAATATGTAGAACTGGCCCTAACCCCAAACTCCCCTACCCAAAGCCTAAGCTTAGGCCAAAAAAAAAAAAAAGGTTAAGTCGGGAGATGTGAACCAGCGTCATTGCACACGGCTATAAGTTACCAGTTCGGACAGCTGATAAAAAAACTGGCCGCCTGTGTCGCCGTCCGCACGTAACTCAGTAGCTACAGCGACGTTCTTCCATTTACCCCAGAATGTCATATTTGGTACCCATTTCCTAGAGGCTGGGTAAACCAAAGGAACCGCACGGTTTCGAACACCGGCCGTGGGCTGCAGCGAATCGCAGCTGGATTTGATAGCGAGGCTCATATCGACTGCGCTAACGCGGCCCCGCTTAGGTCACACAAGAAACTCTTTTCGAAGAAAGCAGTACAACGTGTCGCCCTTCTGATCTAGATCAGACTGAGAAAGTGATGGGCTGGGATACGTGGTCAGAACCTATTTTATATGATGGTTCACAGTTACACAAATTCTACGTGTCTCATTGCTTAACGACATTTGTCTCACTCGTCTAACTATTTTTTTCTGGGTTGTTTAGTTTGAATCCCGGCTTTCCTCTTTCCACCAAATGAAATGTCTTTTTCTTCTAAGTTCACCAGCTGTGAGCTCTGGCGGAATGTCCTGGTTGTTCTTCCATCTAGAATTTGGCTTTGGGCCAGGGTCTAAGTTTTGCGTGTACATCCGTTTTACTGGCTTTTTTGTGTGCAGTTGGTTGTTCCTTGCTGCCTGAGCAGACGCACCGCGACTTCGAAGGATGCTCTTAATTAGTCGAAACATATGACAAGCTTGTGGAGGAGGCTGTGGGTCTATTCTTGTTTTCCCCAGAATGGGGTCCCGGAACCCACAGGGGGAACCAAATGCAATTAAACGGGGTTTTCTCGTGTGTTAATACGAACTTTGACCCATTGCGGTTATGTAACTTATAAACGACATGATCTTTTATTCTCCTTTACAGAAAGAAGCACATCACAACAGAGCGAAGACCAACTTAAACAGAATTACCAACAAAGTCATAATGGTGAAAGGAGCCACTAGTGCTCTGGAAAATGCCAGTTTCACTACCAAGAACGCAAACAAAATACGACCACTCGCAACACACGTTGACCATTCAGATCCGTATGTGGATCTGGCAAAAGACAGTAGACAGTCCAATCTGCGGTCTCTGCCCAACAAATACCGAATCATCGGGAAGTATATTGATGTGGTATCACTGGTAATTTTCTTTGGCGCTTGGTTAGGTATAACTTTGGGATTTCTACTTGAAATGTCTTCAAAATAGGAAGCTTTGTAACCCAGTGATTCTCAAATATCATAAGCGCTGATGTCACATGTTCTATTCTACACGACGTCACAGCTATCAACGACCCAAGAACACGTAGAACTGGCCCTAACCCTTACCCTCTTCCTACCCACAGCCTCAGTCTAGGTCGCACAAGAAACTCCTTTCGAAGAAAACAGTACAACACGATACCCCTCTGATCTAGACCAGACTGAGAAAGTATGTAGATGGGCGTAGAAACGTGAAAAGCTCTCAGTTCTGGATCAAGACCAAAGTCCAGGAGTGGACGAACAACAAGCATTTCCCGACAGTCTACCGCTGGAAGAAGAAGCTGACTAAAGAAAGGCAATATTCGGGCTAATAGACTGCACTGGTTGGGGAGAGGGCGGCAAATAGAGAGAAGATCAGACAGAAGAGAGACAAAGACACTATACAAGACAAAAGAATATGAGTAGAATGAGTAGACCGCAAACAGTAAAAAAAGAGAGAGAGAGAGAGAGAGAGAGAGAGAAAGAGAGGGAGAGGGAGGGAGGGAGAGAGATATAGATAGATAGATAGATAGATAGATAGATAGATAGATAGATAGATAGATAGATAGATAGATAGATAGATAGATAGATAGATAGATAGATAGATAGATAGATAGATAGATAGATAGATAGATAGATAGATAGATAGATAGATAGATAGATAGATAGATAGATAGATAGATAGATAGATAGATAGATAGATAATAGATAGATAGATAGATAGATAGATAGATAGATAGATAGATAGATAGATAGATAGATAGACAGATAGATAGATAGACAGATAGATAGACAGACAGATAGATAGACAGATAGATAGATAGATAGATAGATAGATAGATAGATAGATATAGATAGATAGATAGATAGATAGATAGATAGATAGATAGATAGATAGATAGATAGATAGATAGATAGATAGATAGATAGATAGATAGATAGATAGATAGATAGATAGATAGATAGATAGATAGATAGATAGATAGATAGATAGATAGATAGATAGATAGATAGATAGATAGATAGATAGATAGATAGATAGATATAGATAGATAGATAGATAGATAGATAGATAGATAGATAGATAGATAGATAGATAGAATAGATAGATAGATAGATAGATAGATAGATAGATAGATAGATAGATAGATAGATAGATAGATAGATAGATAGATAGATAGATAGATAGATAGATAGATAGATAGATAGATAGATAGATCGATTAGATAGATAGATGGATAGATAGATAGATAGATAGATAGATAGATAGATAGATAGATAGATAGATAGATAGATAGATAGATAGATAGATAGATAGATAGATAGATAGATAGATAGATAGATAGATAGATAGATAGATAGATAGATAGATAGATAGATAGAGAGAGGGAGAGAGAGAGAGAGAGAGAGAGAGAGAGAGAGAGAGAGAGAGAATACAGGCAGTGGTATTACACGGTCAAATTGTACACAGTGCGGAAATATTTGTGTCCACCACACACTCACACGCATAAAAACAAATACACACACACTCTCTCACACACACACTCTCTCACACACACACTCTCTCTCACACACACACACTCTCACACACACACTCTCTCACACACACACTCTCTCTCTCGCTCTTTTTCTCCCCTCTCTCTTTCTCTCCCAATCCCACATACATTTTTATATTACAATTATTTATTCTCGAAATTGTGTCCATTCCCCCCTCCCCCACATTTATGACACACCATACGACCCACATTCCCAAAGTTATGATACCCGATACGACCCACATCCCCAACAATTATGACACCCCATACGACCCCCCCCCCCCCATCAGTTATGACACCCGATGTACCCCCCCCCCTAGTTATGACACCCGATGTAACCCCCCCAGTTATAACACCTGATGTAACCCCCCCCCACCCCCCCTAAGTTATGACACCCGATGCGACACCCCCCTCCCCAGTTTTGACACCCGATATAACCCCCCCCTCCCGTTATGACACCCGATGCGACAACCCCCCCCCTCCAGTTATGACACCCGATGCGACACCCCCTCCCCCTCAGTTGCGACACCCGATGCAACAGCCCCCTCCCCAGTTATGACGCTTGATGCAACATTCCCCCCTCTCTCAGTTATGACACCCGATGTAAACCCCCCCCCCCCCTCTCCAGTTATGACACCCGATGCGCCACCCCCTTAGTTTCGACACCCGATGCAACACCCCCTCCTCTACCCCAGTTATGAAACCCGATGCGACACCCTCCCACCCCCGCCAGTTATGACACTTTGTGTGACACCCCCGCCCCCAGTTATGACACTTTGTGCAACACCCCCACCCCCAGTTATGACACTTTGTGCGACACCCCCACCCCAGTTATGACACCCGATGCGACACCCCCACCACCCAGTTATGACACCTGATGCGCAGCTCCCCTACCCCCAGTATGACACGTGATGCCACCCCCCCCTCAGTTATGAGACCCGATGCGGACCCCCCCCCCCCTAATCCAAGTTATGACACCCGATGCCACACCCCCCCAAAAAAAAATTTGACACCCGATGCGACCCCCCCCCCCTTAATTATGATACTTGATGTGACACCCCTCCCCTTCCCCAATAATGACACCCCATGCAGACCCCCCCCCACCTCCCCAAGTTATGACACCTGATGCCACCCCCCACTCCTCAGTTATTAGACCCGATGTGACAACCTCTCCCCCCCCTCCAATTGCCCCCAGTTATGAGACCCGATGCGGACCCCCCCCTCCTAAGTTATGACACCCGATGCCACACCCCCCCCCCCTCAGTTATAAGACCCGATGCGACACCCCCCCCCTAATTAAGACACTTGATGTGACACCGCCCCCCCCCCCCCCAGTTATGACACCCGATGCGGACCCGCCCCCCCCCGCCTCTCCTCCCCCCTCAGTTATGACACCCGATGCGGACCCCCCCCTCCCTCCTCCCCATCAGTTATGAGACCCGATGCGACCCCCCCCCCCCCCTAATTAAGACACCTGATGTGACACCGCTCCGCCCCCCCCCCCCCCCCAGTTATGACTCTCGATGCGGACCCCCCCCCTCCTCACCCCTCAGTTATGAGACCCGATGCGACCCTACTCTCAGTTATGCCACATGATGCCACCCACACCCCCAGTTATAACACCCGATGCGACCTCTCCCACCACCCCTCCCCCCCCAATTATGACACCCGATGGGGCCCACACCCCAAATCCCAGTTATGACTGATGCGAATCACACCCCTCTTATTTCAGTTACTATACCCGATGCGACCCGCATCACCTCAGCCTCTTCCCACGACTCTGAACACACGCAGACACACAGACACTTAGAGCCACATACTGGAAAGGGAAGGCAAATCACAGAGATGAATGGGAGCGGGGAATATCTGCAGTAATGAACATCAAGTCTTGGAACGCTGAATAATAATAATAATAATAATGATAATATTAGGACAGGTTCTGGCAGAAGCTCGAGGCTCAGAGAAAAGGCAAGACGAACGTTTAATCAGAATGCTACTGGCACCATTAGTATCTGAACTCTTCGCTGGCTGCTGAAGATGAGGACGGAGCGCTTATGGGAATGCCCGGAGTGCTGTGATGTCGGTTCTTGAATCAAATGAAATCAAATCAATCAAATCAAATCGAGGAAAAATAGGAGGAAAGAAAGATCAAGAAAACAAAAGGAGAAGAAGACTAATGAACTGGATTTATTCACAGCCACTGATGTCCACAAAAGTTGCCAACGTGTGTCTTGTTGTGGAGTAGGGTATAATTAACATTGAGTTATATTTTGCCTGTTATCATTTGATTGACTTAGATATTGTACCTGCAATTATCTGGTTTGCAAATGTATTTTATTGGTTATTTATTATTGACATACATATCGTGTCTGTAAAGTCATGATTTACATGGATATTGCATCTGTAATGTGATGATTTACTTAGATTTTGTCTGTTTTACTATAACTGGCATGAATATATTGTTTACCCACAATTCTTTGATTTACTAAGACATCTTACCTGTAATTCTTTGATTTACATGGATGTTGTAATCATTTCTTTGATCTACTCAAATATATCATCTACATCATTTTCCGCTTTCGTGAACATTTGATCATAATGAGAAAATCGTCATCGTCGTCGTCATCAACATCATCATCTTCGTCATCATCACCTTTATCGACATCATCATGTTCGTCATCATCACCTTCATCGAAATCATCATGTTCGTCATCATCACCTTCATCAACATCATCATGTTCGTCATCATCACCTTCATCGACATCATCATGTTCGTCATCATCACCTTCATCGACATCATCATGTTCGTCATCATTACCTTCATCGACATCATCATGTTCGTCATCATCACCTTCATCAACATCATCATGTTCGTCAACATCACCTTCATCGACATCATCATGTTCGCCATCATCACCTTCATCAACATCATCATGTTCGTCATCATCACCTTCATCGACATCATCATGTTCGTCATCATCACCTTCATCAACATCATCATGTTCGTCATCATCACCTTCATCGACATCATCATGTTCGTCATCATCACCTTCATCAACATCATCATGTTCGTCAACATTACCTTCATCGACATCATCATGTTCGTCAACATCACCTTCATCAACATCATCATGTTCGTCATCATCACCTTCATCAACATCATCATGTTCGTCAACATCACCTTCATCAACATCATCATGTTCGTCAACATCACCTTCATCAACATCATCATGTTCGTCAACATCACCTTCATCAACATCATCATGTTCATCATCATCACTTTCATCACATCACCATCAGGTTGTATCGTTTAAGTGTCATATGGATCTAGCCTCTATTATTTATTTCTATTACCTCCTGTGCAATCTTTGTGATCTTACAAACATAATCTTCCACATCCTCCCGTCATGTCCGCATGGCCTTGATAGTTACGTCA